ACTTAATTAAAAGGATTCTAAAAGAAATGTAAATACTGTAATTCGATTATTTTAATAAACCATGTAACTCAGATGAATTCGATGCTGCTGTGACCAGAGTGCACACGTCTGCTGTTGCGCACAGTGGTCCAAGGGACCGCTCAGGGAAGTTTGTGTGTTTGCTCAGACACATGAAAAATTAGAGGGAACATTGCTTATGAGGTCAAAGGAAACTTAGAAAAAAGATTATTATTATTTATTTGCATTCTTATGTACATACAAATCTCTTGGGTGTTGCACAATGTAGGACTTAAAATAAATAAATTCCTTTTTTGTTTGCTTGTTTTTTGTTTTTGCTGATGTCTTTAAGTCAAAATTTCGAAATTTCAGCTTTATAACATGCCTGGTACAGAAAACAGATTGGTTTCTAATTTCACCTTTATGGTTTGTTTGCTTTTAAAATAAATAATAAAATAAGCAAACAAACTGAGAATTACAGTAGTAAAAATGACATTGTTATTTTAGAAAGTGGAGCAGCCAGTTCAATTGAAGGTTTAACAGATTTTATTAGCTCTTTAATCTAATGCTCTCCCAAGAAAAAAAACACAACTGATGAACTGGTCCACATCACATGAACGTTAATTAGAACTGTGCTGTTTTTCATTTCCACAACTTCCGGATATATTTAAAGTTTCAAGGACATGACCATATTAAGGAAATCCTCTCTCACTGACATCATACAAAGGCAACTACAAAAAAACTGAAACGGAGCATTTACACATTTAGAGGTTTAGACCTAATTTTGGGAAATGTTGTTGAAACTTGCAGAAACCTTTATAGAGGCATAAGTTGTTTACGTATGTAATTAAAGAAAGCTTGTCTTCTTATTTAACTACAGTGGGTTTTCTGGGAGGTGACCACAGAGTTTTTAGGGTAAAATATTTAAAAACAGATCACATTTTTCTTACATTTGCACAAGTAGAGGTAAACAACTTTTGAAGCAGATGTGCCTGTGCAAGTCAGACTTTTTCTTTTTGCAATTTAAAAGGAACCATTCAAAATGTGATCATGGTCTTTACCGTATAAAAGTGAATTAAGGTCACAGTTATTGCAAATCCACCAAGTTACTGCAAGTGATGCAAGTAAGGAGTTAGCCCACTGACTGTTTGTAGTCGGAGACACTATTATCACTGGTGTCTCATAGCCGAAATAGCTCAGCTGGGAGAGCGTCAAACTATAGATCTGAAGGCCTGTAGTTTAACCCTGGGTTTTAGCTGTTTTAAGTGGCATCACTGTCATTGATGGTAATATTGAGATAAATTTAAGTTCTGATGCCAAACTCTATCCTCCAAAATGACAATGCTTTCACCCACAGACGCTGCTCACGTTTGGATTGTTCTGAGAGTATTGAACTGCTCTGCCATGCTTGTTCTGTTGGTGTTTAATAGGTTTGTGTTGGCTGTTTT